AATATCATTTTTGCCTTCTTCCTCTGTTTCTTTCTTGCTTTCTTTTTCTGGTGCGGGGATGATCGTCCCCCTGGTGGCCTCCGAACTTGAACGTGATGGCAGTTGTGTGTATTTTAATTGTCCCCCTGGTCTGTCTGTCGGTCGGTCAGTATGTCTGTATGTCTGTCTGTCTGTCTGTCTGTCTGTCTGTCTGTCTGACTGTCTGTCTGTTTGTTCACAGGGTCCTGTCTGTCTGTAATTCTGTTTGTCTATCTGTCAGTCTGTCTGTGTTCCTGTCTGTCCGTCTGTCTGTTTGTCTGTCTGTCAGTCCGACTGTCAGTCTGTCTGTTCGTATGTCTATCAGTTAGTCTGTCTGTCTTTCAGTGTGTCAATCAGTTTGTCTGTCAGTCTGTCTGTGTGTCTATCAGTGTGTCAATCAGTCTGTGTGTCGGTCTGTCTCTCTGTAGCTCTGTCTGGATGTGTGTCCCTGTGTTAGACTGTCGGTCTTTCTGTCTGTTGAACAGACAGTCTGTTTGTCTGTATGTATGGATGACGTGCTCCCACACATGGCTCCCGAAATGGACCTGTCCAGCAGGTGGTGACAGTCTCTACCGACAGGTAATCACCAAGGTCGATTGAGCTCATGAAGTAGCGGCGAGTGTTCAGAATTCTGCGAATCTCATCACACACCTCTCGCCTGCCATACCCTCGCACTCCAGTTGTTGCCCCTATCTTATGTGTTGACACACACACAATCACATACACACACACACACACACACACACACACACGTTGTTGGACGCTGCCCTGAAGTTGGCTACTGCGTGCCAGAATCTGCCAAACGATAACCCTTGCAACAGTGAATGACCTGCAGTAGCCAACCTCGGTACAGAGGCCGAGACACACACGGGCACACACACACACACACACACACACACACAAACACACACACATACACACACACACACAGACATGTCGATGACGTTTTTGTGCGTTTCCGCTGGCAGAGAGAAGAGGTCGAAAGACAAAGCTTGTGCATCATGTCGATGTCGGTAGCACAGATGGCGAAGGCTCTCACAGAGGTGATGAAGTATGCAGAGGAGGGTTTCCACTACAACGGCTGTGGCGAGTTATCTTTGTTGGAGGAGAGGGTGCCGGGGTACTTTGTTGTTAGCGTGGATATGAGATCCACGATAATGGCCAACGGCAGTGGTTGTGTGCATGCACGAACACTCTTGGAACGATTGAGAGAGTCACCTGATGTTCGTGTGGACAGCGACGCGGAAGACAGCCCATACAGTCTAAAAGGAGTTGTGCAGTGGATGTGCAGCGAAGGCATTTGCGACGAAGGACTTGTCGACATGACAATGCAACAGAAAGGGGGGACCTATACACCTGTGGCTTTCAGGAAGTTTATGGTGAGTGTGGCGAAGGGATGGGACATGCTTGTTGAAGGGGCGAACGACGAGTTGAAGAGGGGTGCTGCAGAAATACTAGTGCTGTCCAGAATCAAGGACATGACACAAACAC